ACCACACACACTCACACACACACATACACACACACACAATTCATATACGTAGAGCTGAAAAATGAAAGTCATCTAATGCCTCTCAAAATATTAAGTGATTAAAAAAAAAAAAGAAATCTGTGTTGTCAAGAGTATCAAATGAGGACACTGAGAGCCCAGGTACTCTTTTTAGTGCCCATAAGTGCACATGCAGTTGAAAGTTTAGGGGTAGTTTTGACATTGCTTGCTGTGGGGATTTCAAATGAAACTAGAAGGGAGGTGGGAATAGCCAAAGAAAGGGGTGAAGCTAAAATGCATCAGGATTCAGAGGTAGAATAAACATAAAATTACCATGACCTATGAAATTTATACCTGGTAAGCACTTCTTCAGCAATAGTATCTGTGGTGCCCTTCTTTCAGCACACACAGAGGCCTCAGCCCTTTCCACTGCTCTCTGCTGTGATCCACATCACATTCTGCAAAGAGAAGGCAGAACTGCCTGAGGCAAGGGTTAAGAAAGGAGACATAGTCTGTGGCATGAAAAATGGGTCTAGGCTGAAAATGGGAGGGACACTACCTAGCAAAAATAGAACTAGCCAATTTATATCTTACCTAGCGAAGCTTAGGACTTGAGTTAAGTAAACAATTCTTATAAACTAACAGTTATAATAACATTTTCCAGCAGAGGGCATACTTTACATTGGAATAAATCTACAAAGAATCTTTGGAATAAATCTTCAAACAAGAGGGTTTTTTTTTTTTAATTTTAATCTGTAATTCTGGTTTCTAAATAAATTTTTTTTTAAGTATTTAAGGTCCAAACGATGTTACATATGAAACATCTTAGGTCCCAGTTAATAGCTCTCTCTGACTTATTAGTAAAATATTCAAGATGGGATTGTAAAATGAGGTGGTTTTTCCAATGGCATATGGAATGGTCTTAGACACTATCATTGTAAGCAAAGCTGTTCTTTTTTATGTTCTTTACAAATAGTTATTACAGAAAATTCGACTTTTAAGTGGATGAGTACAGTTTTCCTTTATTCCAATAGACTTTCAGATGAATAACTGCTTTTCTTTAACAGTTAGAAATTACCAGCATTTTCTAATCTGTTCTATAGCCAGCTTTGATATTTTTCCTAGAGGAAATGACACCTATAAAAAAGTTAACTTATTATATAACTCCAATATTCAAAGTCCTTTTAAGCAGCAACTTTATGAGAAATTTAAGATTAGTTTCTCTTCAGGGCTCATTGCCCTGATCTAAAAGAATCATTCTCACAATAACTGAGAAGTAAAAATTGCTATCTATATTTAACAATTTTTTAAACGTGATGGTACTTCTTATCAGCGGCCATGTTCCTATCTGGAGACCTGGTCTGTTTGACACCTTTAGGCTACCTAGAGTTCATGGCCGCACCCCGTCTTCACTTGGCACTATTTTTATCTGATATTTTAAAATCATGGACACATGACTTTACTTCTTAAGACATGAGTTCAGATTTACATACTGTGAAAAGTACAAAGAATGATACAAGATAATTCTGTGTAAATCAATTGCAGGAATTTTGGGTTTGAAAACTCATTAACTTGGTTTAATTTTGTCACAACATTAAGAACCTTCTTAATCTGGCTGTATGCATGTGTGCACACACGTGTGCATGTGTGCTGTGTATACATGTGTGTGAATGTGTGTGTGACTTAAATAGTGAATAAGGGGGAAATCTCTGTGGAAGACATTTTCAGTGTTATGGGAGAGACAATATATTTTCTTTTATTAGTAAAGTTATTTCCTTTAGTACTCCTACATCTATGAAATCCATAAACTACATCCAATGCATAAGAATTTGCTGCCTAGGAAACAAAATTATTTCTGTGTTTAAAAATTGGAGATTTAAATATCCTTAAAATGACAACAAAAATAGTTCGCTATATATTTACTTTTGTTTTCATAATGAGCTCTAGCAAAATTATTGTAAGTAATTTTGTTATACAAGGTTAGAAATGTTCCTCTTTTATTGGCGTGTAGAAAAATGTTTAAAATAAGTGTGGGTGTTTAAATTTAATGTAAAATAAATTTGGGGAAATCAGAAGTGTTAGCAAAATAAAATAATCTATGCTTTCTTGGAAAGATAAGCTGTTTTCAAGATTGATAGAATGTTTGCATTATAATGAAAATGTCATTATGCTTTTTAAACACTCAATTTTGCTTTCACTTAATACTATGGATACAGAATTTCTTGCTTCTTTACAGAGCTTCAGACAGATTATCAGCCACCTTTGCTGTCAGGAAGGAAATACTAAAATATTAGATTTGGATTTGAAAAATGGTGATTCCCAAGTTCTGCCCCATTCTAGCTATGTGACCTGGATAGATCATTTAATCTCTCTGAACCTTGGTTACTATGCTATAAAATTGAGGGTCTAATGTGTATCTACCATTTATACTAGGCCTGTGAAAGCACTGAGCTCAGTGTCTTAACACATTGCAGATTTGTTTGCAACATAAAAAAATAATAATAATAACTAGGTAATATACTTAATTAATAATATCCTATTTTGATGAAAATGTCTTTAATATTCATGAATTACTCATACACAGTGTAAAATAGCTTCCCCAGACTTTGTATATGTCAGAACAAAACTTGCAGAAAATCTTGACTTTATATACACAGAGTAGTTTTAAGATTATGGTTAACTGCTTGCGATTAGCAATTTAAATGAAAATCTAGTATAGTTTCCATTTCTCTTACACTTAGTGGGAAACTCAAAGAATACAGGGTTATATTTTAGATTATATTTGTTGGTACTTTTATTATTTTGGATATTGTCTGCAGTCCTCAATGCCACATATAAAACAGCAAATGAAAATCATGGTAAAATTTGTTTCTTTGCTCAAGAATTTTGGCCTATATTTCTAAATCCAGAATTATCCCCACAATGACATTTTCTGCATCTCATTTTATACCTTACCTTCTCCGTACAAATCATATTCTCTTTTCATCAGTACATCTGCCCAAAATGCTCTTCTACTTGACAGTTCTATCCCACACTCGCCTCTGAGCTTCTAACAAGCCATACCTCTGGGAATTGCAAAGTGCCATATTTAAAATCTCTCAGTGAGATATACAGGTTTTCCCGTGTGATCATAAGGGATTCCTCAAATCTGAGTTTTAGAGCTAACCTACGACAACTGATAAGCACAGTATTTTCACATTAGCATATTTATGTTGTACTAATATCCTTAAACAGTATGTATGTCCATTGAGAATTTTTCTACAAATTTCTAATCAACTTCCTTTTAACTTTTAAGCAAGATGCCTTATATAATGGGTATGACAATAATTCCATTATATTTCCCCAGTAAATAGACTTATCCAACTTGGAATGGAGATGTAGTAGATGCCACAGATGCTCAATGGAAGACAAGTTGGCAATAAAAAGGAACATATTACTGATATAAACATGAACGAATCTTGAACATGTTATGCTAAGTAAAAGAAGCCAAGCATGAAGGTCACAAATCCCATGAGTTCATTTATATGACTTTCTGGAAAAGGCAAAAATGTGGGGACAGAAAACAAATCAGTGATTTCCAGGAGAAAGTAAGAGGGCATTGTCAACAGAAAAGCTTGAAAGGATTTTTGAGGTGATGGAAAAATCTCAACTGTGATGGTAATTACAAAATTTTATACATTTGTCAAATTCATCAAACTATTATAAAAAAGATTTTTATAATACTTAACTTTTACCTCACTAAAAACATTTGAGTAGTTCAAGAATAAAAAATACTTTATAGTTTTGAAAATTTTTAGGTTTTCTCTTTCCAAAGAAGTTTTATGGTTAATATATATATTTTTTTACCTATTTCTGTTTCCATCTCTATATGTATGACATTCAGATTAGTTTTAAATAGCTAAAAGCCCTTTAATGTCATTCATTCAGGGTTTTGGGGAGCTGAAGCATGAAATAATATGTATTTTGCAGTATTATAAATATTATGAAATGTTATGAATTATATGAAGAATATTATTAAGTGAAACTTCTCCCTGTGAGTTATAGCAACTACTTGGTTTTTATATCATTTTCCAATCATCAGCAATTGAGAAACAAGGCTGTAAGATTATTGTACCTAATATTACTTAAATCCTGTGAGGTAAATTGTACTAGCCCACAGTAAATAAATTAGGCTCATGCAACATCAAAGACAAATCTTACAAGTTCTTCCGATTCCAAAGCCAACAGTTTTAACCATTTTTCACTTATTTTTCCCAGCTCAGTAGTAGTTCCAATTCTTTTGGATAGATGCATAAGTTCTTAGAAACAAATAATAAAGAACTCTTCTCTTGAGGGAAAGGTTTTCAAAAGGATTTGATACCATAAATAGAAAATAAGGATTTATGAGTGAGGAATGCCCTTATCATTCATATTAGCCACTAAGCCTTTGATGGAGGTTTTCTTTAATATAGTAAAGGAAAAAAAAATATTTTCCAAACTCACAGAAGCTTCTAGTATAACTGCAATAGCAGACAATAATATTCTTTTTGAGCAAACTATTTTTGAATCTTCAAGTGATGTTTATCCCTGAACTGCTATTTTCATAACCAATTGACAGATCATATATTTCATTAATTCTTCATACTTCATTAATTAAAAATAATTCAGCAACTTCTATATAATAATTTTTATATAAGTGACATTAACAAGCCTAAATCTTCTCTCTGGGACAAAATTTACCCATGGGAGAAGACAAAAGTCCTAAATCCTAACACATTTGCATTAGCTCTCATATTATATGTGTGGGGTATATGTTTTTGATTCACTCCCCAGCAGCTGCTCATCTATAGCGGAGGTTTTAACTGTAGCTTGCCAGGAACTCTTACCTTTTATTCACAATTGCCTGGGTGTGCCTTCCCCACTTGCATTGAACTGTATGTACTGTGTGCTGTAGAGGTGTGCAGTTAAAATACGTTTATTCTCGGAAATATTTTTAAAATATTTAAAAATGTTTTCCTTTGCAGAATCAGACACAAGTTTGGCAGAAGGAAGTGTCAGCTGCTTAGATGAAAGTCTTGGACATAACAGCAACATGGGCAGTGATTCAGGCACCATGGGAAGTGAATCAGGTACTGCCTGACTGTTGTGTAAACCTTAAAAAGTGTGAAATAAGACGCCATATAGTGGAAAGCATGGGGGCTGTTCATACCCTCCCTAATGTATTTATGCAATTAAGGCAATTCTTTTCTACAGTTGAAATAGTTTTGGAACTTCGCCATCCACTTTCTGTAAAAGTACAACTTACCAAAGTCAAACGCTCTAATTTTGATCCAGTACATATCTTTTGGGTCTGGCATATGCCATATTCTGTAGAATCAAATCATCGATTCATTTGTATAATCTGCTCAATTAATTTGACTGTATTTAAATTTGACATCGAATTTGCTACATTCTTCCCCAAACCCTTTTTAAACTTTTTAAAGTTAAAATATGTTTAGGTCAAAATTTCATGCCCTTCATGAGTGTGACTGTAGATAACTACAGATAACAAGAGTCCTTTTTAAAATGAAAAACCAAAAATTATACATATAGTTAAGAGTTCCAATTTGTATAAATATCTCTGGCATAGGAGTAGAGTTTGCAAAATATTTTCATCACTAAATGAGAACTTTACTAGGTGTTTCCAAAATTGCTCTCCATATTGTTTGTATACCCCACCAACAGTGAGAGAGTGCCTCTTCCCACACGTCAGCAGTAATTCCTATCTCAGATTTCCTACTTTTTGTCAGATAGATCAATCCAAATAATTTCTTTCTGTTCTTTATATACATTTCCTTGATTACTGCTGAGCTAAAATGCTAACATATTTTAGGAATGGTTGATGAATCCTTGGATGTCTGTTATACCCCTTTGACATTTATCTGTATGTTTGAAATATTTCATAATTAAAAGTAGCAAATGACACACAAAATATTGTTCTGCCATGTGACCAGCTAAGTAGCTTTTAACTGACAAATTATGAAGCAATTACCTTACTCTTTATTTATTCTGTGATTGAGTTTTAGAAAAACCTTAGAAAACATCAGATTCTTCAATTTACCATGCAATGCCCAAAGAATAATAGAAACTGATATCAGCAACATACCTAGAGGGGCAAAATAGTTTACATAAAGGTGGTCATTAGTTGTGAAATGGTTTCAAGTTGGAGAATTATTACTCTTTTATTTAAATGTCTCTTTCTCTAATGGACAAGTTGATTTGAAGAAACCTAATTCATCAAATGTTGTCATAACTTTAATGTAAAGGGATAATGGATTATTCAATTTAGTATTTCATACATTCTTGCCCTGTGCTTATTTTTGAGGGATACATTCATTTTTCTGCGCTTGTTATATAATTGTTAACATTTGATAATTGACATGTCTAATAAATGCTGTTAATATTATAACTCAATATGTATTTTAACTAATATTTAACATTTTTATGGATTATTTTAAGCTTGTGGGTATTATCCTAGGTTTTGTTTGACTAAGTAAGGGCTTCTCAACAGTATTCATTCATTCACTAAATATTTAATGGTGTCCTGTGTGTGCAGGGTATTTGTTCTACTTAGAGCTGTGAGCAAATATAACTGTTTACTGATTTTTAGTCCTCAATGTAGCATGAAAGACGTGATAAATCTGAATGCAACCTGCTTTTAAAAAGCAAACACATTTTCGAAGGCAAATCCATCTGAAGATAAACACACTTTCAGAAGACATCCATTGAAATTCTAGATAGGCTAGTGCTTAAGAACAAATAATTATTTTGCATGTGGGTAGTGAAATTCTGAAATTTATAAAATTCTGAAATTCCTTTCTTTAGGTGCCTGATATAGACTGAAACAGAATTAAGACAAATAAAGCTTTGGAGAGATTGTGAATTGTTAAACACATATTGAATCTTTGAAAAACCATACAATATTTGGGGTTATATTTTAACCTTTGAGGTCTACATGAAAGCAATCTTATTCCACATGTTCTTTGTCCACTTTCAAAATCATACATGATGTATCACCAGAATCATGTACAAGACCCAGTAGCATGCCATGAGGTTCCCTTGTGCAAGCATTACACCATAGTAAAACATAATTAGTGGGACTTTGAAGTTTAAATATTCTAATTACACTATGGAAGGCTTTTTGTTTTTCTGTTTCTCATTCTCAGAGAGATACACTGCTTCTCACAAAGTGATGATATTTTTGGCAATTCTTATTGGCCCGATATGTAGAAAGTGTTTCCTTACTATTTCAAGGCAATACCTATTAATATTTGCCCAGCTGGAATGGTGTATTTTTCCGTGGTTACATAGTATAGGTAAAGGAATACTTTGTCGATTCAAACACATGCAGTGACAGACCTTTTCTCTCCAAGAATAACTCAGCTGTCAAAATCAATGTGAGAATGAAATTTGCCACATGGTGTAATTCCAATAAAATGTTATTATTTAAGCCCTATTTGATTTCATTTTTTGACCATTTTATGGTACAGTATAATTTTAAACTCTTCAATCAATGTTTGTTGTAGAAGGGCATAGTGTTATTCAAAGCCTGTGCATATTTTAAATACCATTTTCATTATTGCATTTAATTGATCTTGCTTTTCAAAGAGAGCCAAAAAGAAACAAACAACAAACAAATAAAAACCCAAACATTTTTCTATAAAGGAAATTGGCTTCTGGCTCACTGACACCAGCCCAGTTCTTTCCTTCTGGTGACAGAGAACAGAAAATCTTCTTTCATTGCTTATGTGGATAAATTCTTCCATCTCTATGTCAGAGGATGTGATAAGGCAAGAATCAGGCTGAATATTTAGCACTCACCCAGTTCTTTCTCTTTGGATGCTGTTCTCACAGTGATTCCAACTCTAAATTTTTCCATATTCCCTCCGTGCTTCTTTCTTAAACTTGGGGCTACCCATCAAAACCTTACTCTAAAATATGGAAAATTCAGAGCTACCAGTCTACTTAGCTCAATATTTGGGAAAAGCAAGGTAGTACCCTAGACTTTGAAGTTAACAAAGACAGGATTGTATTATTGGGAATGTATTATACATAATATGACTAGTTAAATAACAGTACAAATATCATGGTTTCAACCTTAGAGTTAAATTTTGATCATGATAGCACTTTTAACATCCAAACTCTTCTTAAATTATTAGTGTAACAAATGTAGTAACATGCATAAGTGATATTGATGTTCTAACTGACTGACTTAATTTTAGAATCCTGGGGAAGAAACTTAGAAATGGCTTTAAGTTTATCTTTTTAATGTTTTTATACAAGGATATAGTAGCAAGTATAAAAAACAAAAGCAGGGAATGGTGATTTTAAAAGAATACTGTGGTGCAGTGGGTTAAAGCACAGCACTAAGAAGCTAAAGTCACTTCAGCATGAGTTCAATCCCCACCCCGGAGGTGATCCATATGGTGTGGCAGACTTCTCCTGACCCACCCCCTGCACCCCTCAGCAGTGTACTTCATCAGTCGGCCTGTTCTGCTTCCCACTCTGTCTGTCTCTGGTGAATCCTATCACTGCCCCTGCACCTCTGGCCTGTACCCCAGTTCTGTATGCATACAAAAAAAAAGAATACATGCAACTATTTTGAAGGTAGCAGAACTTCATAATTTTTTAAAATTTATGCAAAAATGTACCTAGGGTAAAATTAGACAAAGAGAATTTGTTACTATCTTTTAACAAGTTTCCTAGACCATACAGTAATTTTTTTAAAATATGTTTTGATATTTCTTTCCTGATTTTTTTTTTTAGATTTATTTATTCATACAGAACTGGGGTACAGGCCAGAGATGTGGAGGGTGAGTGGATTCACCAGAGACAGGGTGGGGAGCAGAACAGGCAGATCAACAACGTACACTGCTGAGTGGCGCAGCGGGCGGGTCAGGAGAGGTCTGCCACGCCATGTGGATCTCCTCCGGGGCAGGCGGGGATCCAACTCATGCGGAAGTGGCTTAAGCTTCTTAGTGCAGTACTTTAACCCGCTGCGCCACCAGGGAGGGCCCCCAAACAGTAATTTAACAAAAGTAAGCTCATAGGTCTTGATGCTAAACTCAATTTAAAATGCATTTTCTTTTGCAAATATTCAGACATACTTGGAGAAATTAAGTGAGAAGTGCATATAATATAGGTGGAATATTAGGATTTTGACAATTGGTAAGAGTTAATTTAGCACAGAAGTAGTGGTATTCTTAAATGAATTGAACCTTATATAAATATAACTGAAGATGAACTATTATAATTGCAGCAGCCTTCATAACAAGCACAGAAAGAGACCTTGTAAATGTATATTTTAAATGTTGGTGATCTTGAATGTATTTTCTTGAAAATCATAATAGATGAATCAGCAGATGATCCAGTGATAACTTAAATGGGTTGCATCTGTGTTTACTCAGCCATACAGAAGGCAAATTTCCTGTCAAGTTAGTAGATGACTCTTGCTAAGTGGTATTTGGTGTGAATTTTCCTACCTGTCAGATAGTACTATCACAGCAGGCTAAAACCCAGTTAAATAGAGTCATTCAATTGCTGAAATGGAATCATCAGCAACTTTTTTTGAAGTTAATGGGAGTATGTTAGTTTAGTTTTATTGCAATCATTGATAAGAGAAAGAACACTTACCTCATGTGTAATGAAATACTGATAAGTACTGTCATTTCATTTTTCTTTTGATTACATAAAGCACAAGATGGGTTTTTAAATTGATATAATTTTTATTTTACTGCATTCCACATGATAAGTTGTGAGTTTTTAAATCTATTCCCCTTGGCTAATATAATATAGTCACTTCTAAACAAAATATATTTAAGCCAAGATAGAATGATTTTTAATGTTCATGAAATGAATGCAAGTTAATATTTGCTTTATCTATATTTGAAGCATAGACATCTATGTTAATTAAAATGTTATATTGTGATTTGACTTTAAGGAAAATATTAATTCCTAAATGTATATTTTATACATATATATTTTGTTAATGTATTCATATATAGATATTAATATTTATATATAAAATGAAGTGATAAAGATCACAAGTGAAGACTAAATGGCACAATAGAAAACTAAATTAGAAAAATGAAGTATCTGTGGTGAAAACAACAAAATTGATTTCCATTTTTCAGTGAAAATCTACCAATTAAAGGCTTGCATGGGAGATTTCCCCCAAAACTCTAAATATTGTTTCTGCTTAATCTTGTTACCATAAATATGGGTATTTGGTACCAGATAAAGTTTCTATATCTTTACTGATATAAAAAAACAGAGGCAGCTCCATTTTCAAGAATGTCTGCCTCTGTCCTATGCAGGCTTCTCTTTTAATACATTTTTCCCTTTCAAAAACTCCAGCACATGGAACTATGGTGATGGTTCACAGGTGCTGCCGTGCAGGAGCATTATGGGGCCTACACCTGAGAGGAGAAATCACATATTGTACAAAAATGAACAAGGATGTAAAACAATTAAAAACACTAATTCATAGCCCTCCCTGGTGGCGCAGCGGGTTGAAGCACAGCACTAAGAAGCTTAAGCCACTTCCACACGAGTTCAATTCCTGCCTGCCCTGGTGGTGACCACATGGCGCGGCAGACCTCTCCTGATCCACCCGCTGCGCCCCTCAGCAGTGTACTTTGTTGATCTGCCTGTTCTGCTCCCCACTCTGTCTCTGGTGAAGCCTCTCGCTGCCCCTGAGCCTCTGGCCTGTACCCCAGTCTGTATGCACAAATAAATCTTTAAAAGAAAAAAAACTAATTCATAATAATGATAAAAAGCTCAGCAGCAGTGGTTCCGCTTGCTTGTCTCTTTTTTTCTTTTCGCTAATGAACCTGTCCTTCTGAAGTACAAAAATGAAATAAGGGGAATACTGAACAAGAAGGTATGAAGATTTCTACTTTGTTTGTGGGCAGAAGGGCCAAGAGAAAAAAATGAGGCATAATGTCAACCAGAAAATACAAAGTTTGATTTGTGCCACAGCCCTTTTGTAAATTTCCCTTGGTTTTGCCAAATCTATGAGAAGAACACCCTTTCCAGGGCTCCATCCCGTTCATTCAGGCCTCATCACCCCCTGTCAGCCAAGTCAATGATAAAACAGGTAGGTCATCTCCCACAAATGCAAACAGACAGCTGGAACATAAAATAGAAAATGAATTGGTTTAGACCCCGCCTGAAAAGGAATTTAAAACACAATAGCCTTATATTCAATTTCAGGCTTCCTAGCTTTGGTTATTTCTTGCCTACTTCCTTATTTTTCTTTCTTTTAACTGCCTTCAGATGAAGAGAATGAGGTGGAAAGATCATCCCCTGAGCCAGAACTGCAACTCAGGTCTTACCAAATGGAAGTTGCTCAACCAGCTTTGGAAGGGAAGAATGTCATTGTATGCCTTCCTACAGGCAGTGGGAAAACCAGAGTAGCTGTTTACATTGCCAAGGACCACTTGGACAGAAAGAGAAAAGCTTCTGAACCTGGCAAAGTTATAGTTCTTGTCAACAAGGTATTGAGTGGGGAAAATAACATTGTTTATTTTGTGAAGCTTCTGTGCATTAATGTTTGTAACAATGCATCACACAAATTTAGTTTAGTTGGAAGTAATATCAACATAAGTAATTTAAAATTTTTGCTTCTTCATTTATATTTAGCATCTAAGTTAATAGCCTTTAAAATAGAATTTCCCCCTCAAATCAGAACTTAAATAGCTACAACTTATGTATACAGAGTGTATTTACTCAGATAGTCTTTAAGGTTGATGGATGCTAATTTAAGTTATCATTGCATTTGATCTGGAAATATCACTGGAATCTGGGATCAAATATTGCCTTTTACACTTTCTTTAACTAGTTAATCATTTAGTCAAAGCTGACAAATTCCCTTTATCCAGTGTGTGTGTGTGTGTGTGTGTGTGTGTGTGTGTGTGTATGTATGTGTATGATTTGGTTTGAAAATAAAGAGAAAATATTAATGGGCATTTGACTGATTTATATCAAATTTAGCAGATACATATTTTAAGTGTATATGTATACATACATAGTATATAATTAAAAATTTAATGCAATTGAGATTTCGTTAATAATTAATATCTTATGGTATTTGAAGACTATCTTCATAAATAGGTGTAAGTGTCCTTCAGTATAAAACAAAATCGAATTATTTGAGATTTATCCAGATAAATGGATTTATTAAATGATAAATTTGTAAATGAGGGAGTACTAACCTTAACCATTTAATGGAGTAAAATTGAGTATATTTTTCATCACCAGAAAGCCTCTTTCCTATTTCTCATTTAGTCCTTTACAGGAAATGTGGTAATAGACTATACAGTTCTTATATTTCTTGCATTTCTGTTATGCCAAAAATTTTAGTTGCAAGCTACTACTCAGTTCATACTAAAGAAATTCATTCAGGATACTTGATCTGAATGTTTTCTATCATGTATTCAAATATACTTTATATGTATCTACTATGTATGAGAACTTTTCCTATATACTTGAATGCCACTAATAGAACATCAATTTTTTTTGTTGTAATGGAGATGCATTAGAATGTCCATAACTTTTCATATATTCCTTGTATTAACATCTTTAAACTTCTAGAGTAAAAAGAATATAGGCTTGAATGTTTCCCCCATCTGTAGTTCGAACTTCAGACAAATATCATTTATTATGAATATATAAAATAGTCTATTATCTACAGTTCCATGGTAAACTAGTTGTTTTATATAAAGCCTAGGGATGACTCATTAAATATTAGTTCTTTCTCCTATTCCTCTTCCTCACCTTTCAAATTAATGAATTGGAATTCCTTAACCATTGAACAGTTTTAGGTGCCAGGTCCAAAAAAAAAAAAAAAAAAGTTAGCTAAATTCAAAGTCATGTAAACATCCCATGCAAGCATTTCCTAAAATTTAGCTTCATTATCTACCCTTGCAAAGGCTCTCTTTCCTTACCCGTTTCGCTGTTAGCTACATAAACTGCCTCTTCCAAAACATGTGGTTTCATAAACCTAGGAAGTAGTTTTCATTCTTCTGCTTTCTTCACTTTTCTTATTAAGCTACAATGTCATAGACTATTAGAGTTGAAAGAGACCTTCAAGATCCAGAAAAGTTTTTGTCCATTGCAGTGATTCTCTCACCGCTACTGAATAATTTTTAATATCAAAGAGATCCCTCTTCTAACAAGAGAGTTAGGTTCATTCTTTGAACGGACTCTTTCCAAAAACCATATTTGTATTCATCAAGATATTTTCTCTAGAATTTCACTCATTGGTAGCTCTTTCCTCCATGATTATAAAGAGTAAATCTTTTCTTGTCTATGACAGCACTTCACATAGAGAAGATAGTATTAGTCAACCCTTTGTTATTTTTCTGTTTGTTCCATGGAATAAATATTGTCAATTCCTTTAGCTGGTCTTTATAAGATGTGATTTCCAGACATTTCCTATTCCTGAGTGTTCTTACATTTTCCAGACACTTGTCTAGGAAACTCTTAAAACACAGTGCCTAGGATTGAACAAAATCTGATCTTATTAGTCTGATTGTAGAGAGGTGAGATGTCACCTTCAGCCCAAGACTGGGTTTGTCTTTATCATCAGAGCCAGCACCCACAAACTTCTCAAAGGGTGCAGTTTCTTTTCACTTGAAAGTCCATTAGGTTAGTACTCTTGAAGTTATTTTTGTGTAGACCATTTCAAGTTACACATTTTGTTATAAGTGTAATGTACCTTCCTTTTTATAATAACTCCTCTTAATGTCATAGTCTTGTCATAAATCTTTCATCCTTTTGCATCTCAATGATTGCCATGATTCCACAATTTACAGCCATGTAAAAGTGTTAAATTAGCCATCATAACTATTCATATCCAGTGCATTGTACTGTGGGCACTCAAGGACAGAAAACTAACTCCTGACCTGTTTCCCCTGAGAATTATGGAACAACTCTCTATTAGCTTTGCCATCTATGTCATCATTACTATATTAGTCTATTTCTTTAAATTCAAAGTAATTTCAGCTCTACTTCTTTTTGATTGAGTCAGAAAATCTCTAGTCTAGTCAACATGACCTGAATTCTATGTTTATCCCAATAACGAGATATTGTAACCCTTAATCTAGAAAAAAAAATTCTATTCCCTAACACCATTTGCTTCCATCTCCCTTCCTTCATCCTTTCCAAAGTTATAGCCTTCAAATGCAGGAAAAATGAAAACACCACCTGTGTTCCCAGACTTTCTATTTCCTATCTAGGGCTTCAACATCACAAGAGATAAATCCCAGGTTCCTTCAGATGCTGTAATGCAGCCCCATATGATTCAGCAGAAGTGGGTAGCAGTTGGGTTTGATTAGTCTTGGCAGGCACTCTGTCACATCTCAGGAAAAGGCTCCAAGAGGACCACACACTCCCAATTAGCCATGTCAGACTTGCATCTGGCTCTCTCTGTGTCCTTCAAAAGGACGTCAACACCACGCAGAGCGAGTGTCAGCATTCCCAACACCTGTTACCTCCTGCAACAACTTGTTTTTGTTCTGTGAAGAAGAAGATGCTACTTCTTAAGAAGGTCTTGACTTACCCTTTATGGGCACCTCAGGTGACTGTCCCTTTATGGGCACCTCAGGTGACTGTCACTCTATGGTAGAGCTTTTCTTAAATCATTCAGGAACATGAGGGTTTTTAAAGAAAAACGTAGATCCCATCCTCAGAGAATGTGCAGTCCAGAAAATGAGTGATGTGTACTCATAATCTAAAAGTCCATACTTTATTTTATTTTATCTCACTAATGTCACACAGCTTGTCTTTGAGATGTCATAACTACCCCCATTTTACCCACCAGTAAACTGAGACTGAGTCTTTAACTGGCCTGCCGGGGATTATCCAGACAATAAGCAGCTGAACTGATTCTTGAATCTTTTTCTCCTGAAGTCGACTGGCCTCTTTCCACCATATTCTACCGTTAGAGTAGAAAGATATATGAAACATCAGAAAGTTTTCAGAGTACTAGCAGTGTGTCAATCTCTATTTCATTTAACTTTATTTTTTTTTAAGATTTATTCATTTATGCACACAGATCTGGGGGACAAATTAGAGGCTCAGGGGTGGTGAGAGGACTCACCAGAGATAGAGTGGGCAGCAGAACAGGACGACTGACTAAGTACACTGCTGAGGGGAGCAATGGGTGGGTCAGGAGACGTCTGCCACGCCATGTATTTCACCTCCCTGGCCAGAGATCGAACTCATGCTGAAGTGGCTTTAGCTTCTTAGTGCTGTGCTTTAACCCACTGCACCACCAGAGAGGGCCCTCATTTAACATTTACAATTCTCTCACAGGTTGACATTGTTCTCATTTTATTGATATGGAAATTAAGAGAATTGAGATGATCAGGTAACTTGTCCAAAATCACACAATAAGCAAGTAGCCCCAGCAGCCATTTTCAGATCTGACTTTTTTTCTTCTGGATCATGCTCTCTTTCCACTAAATTGAACTTCCATTCTCTTCCTCAAAATTTTTCTTTTTGACTTCTTTCTCAGATTATTTTCTTTGTCTCGTATAAGTGAACTGAAAAGGATAATTCCAGGAAAGTGAAGGAGAGAAGAGCTATGGTTATCAAATTTTAAAGACTTAATATCACATTGGAAGTTCCATAAAAAGTGCGGTTTCAAGACTCTGTTCATAGAAATAGACTCATTAGTTTTGGGGTGGAATCCAAAAGTCTGTTTTCCAAGCCCCTCAAATAATTTTGTGGCAGATAGACTAGAGATTTCACTGAAAAAATTATAATATAAAACCAGTGTTGTTCCTAAACTGTTTTCCTGTCATAGGGGTCACCTTTTCACTTATTTTTCATTTTTCACCTCAAGTGAAAAGATGAATAATATATGACCCGCAGATTATTGCAAAGGTAGCCACTGATTACATTTCAGGCTACTCCATCATGAGGAATACACTGTGTACTCTTTGATGCTTAACTTTGAAACTCTTCCTGCCAGTTTTCCACCTGCCACATTGTGTGTAGCTGGGCTTCCATTGTGTAAATTCCCCTAGTATATGAGAAAGTTCAGTGATTCTGTATGACTGGTAATATGTAGCACTGCCTGGTCAATTCAGTCACCTTTCCAGATACTGATAACAAAGTTTCAGGGGGGTTAGAGTGGGGGAGGAGGTTGATTTTTGTTTTCCTAACAAGAAGCAAAACCTTTATTAACATTTGAACAGATTTATCTATTACTGAAAATGCTAATTTGTGAACCTAATCTGAGGCAGATGGCTATGATGCAGACACGTACATCTGAGTACTTTACAGCCACACCTCTGACAGATTAGGTGCATTTTGTAGTTAGGAAGAACAGTCATTTGTCATTTCCAGCTGCCTACCTGAAAGATGAGATGCATTCATCAGGAGTGAGGCCTCTTTTAGTCTCAGCCTCAGTGAAGTCACTCTTCCAGCACCAGTGATAGTCTTACTAGTGGCCAGCACCTTCATGAAGAGCTTCCTATTGACCTGTAAGCAAATTGGGAAACTACTATGGATTAATCACTTCAAGTCAACACAGCACACCTAAATGCCAACATACTGGATAATGCCAGTAATCTCAGAAAAAGTTTTCACATCTTTAGCTAAGTTCTTGCTCAGCCACTAAAGTTATTCTAGCACTCATTCCTTCACCACATATCCCTTGTCCTAGGCCATCTTTATCATGTCATTTGTGGTTCTCTGCTCACTCCTATCCTTTCGGCATGGTACCCCGGCCCAGTCCTAAAACAAATAACAGGAGTAGATCATTGTATGATACAACTCAAAAGGGTCCTGGGAAGCTAAACTGAAAATACTATCATATTAATAGTGCTTTACCACCCTGTCCTTACTCTGAAAATTCAAAATCTATTTCTTATCCAGTGTTAATTTTAATTGATCTCTTCACTCATCCAGTACTTACATGATTAAAATTCTTTCTAAACCCTTTCTTTCAGTCAATTGTTTCTTCTTTGCAGACACTTGGTAGATATTTCTATGGGAGAACAATTACATTGTGTTGTATGAATTTGTTTGTTTTGATTTAACATGGTCAATGTTGAAATATCTCTGTGACCCAGATAAAGTGTCAGCAGTTATTAGGCATTTAATAAATGTTTATTGACAACTGAATGATGGCTAGGTTGTTATGCTTAATTAACTGGTAATGTAAAGGCCTCTGTTAATGATTGGTACAGGGAAGGCTTTTGGTCAATAATCTGTTAGCTTTAACCATGCTCTCTCCCTCTTTTTTTCTTTTTAAATCTTGTTATTTCTAAAGGTTCCATTAGTTGAACAGCTCTTCCGCAAAGAGTTTAATCCATTTTTGAAGAAATGGTACATTATAAAGCGAATAAGTGGTGATACTCAATTGAAAATATCATTTCCGGAAGTTGTCAAATTAGGTGATGTTATTATTAGTACAGCCCAAATTCTGGAAAACTCACTTGTAAACTCAGAAAAAGGAGAAGATGCTGGTGTCCTGTTGTCAGGTTGGTTGAAGTATTCATTTTTGAAAATAAGAATAAGTAATAATATTAGTAATAGTAACAGAGGTTGTATTAATAAACCAATGTTTTAAATATTGATTTTCTTAAATATTTATGTATTTATGAATACAAGAATTGAGGTACAAGCCAGAGGTGTGCGGGGTGAGAAGATTCACGGGGATCAAACACTTGCTGTGGTGGCTTTGGAAGCTTCACAGTGCTGTGCTTTAACCTGATGTGACACCAGGGAGGGCCCTTAAGTCTTGATTTTAAGAGGATTAACTCAGGTTAGATTGTCTTGCATTGCTTAAATTTTATCAAATTGCTCTGTTTCCTTAAAAAGATAATTTGATACATTTTTTAATTCAAGCACTTTACTTAAGAATACATTACTATATCAAGTACTCATATTTACTTTTGTCTAGATATTGACAAGCTCTTTTATATACTAGTGGAGTTATTAGATTTACTTTCTTCTCTGCAGAGAGAAAAATGCAAATAAAAGGTATAATGTTTATAGTATAGTAATGTTTATAGCAATACCATTTAAAAATTACTTTTATTAAAGAACTAAAATTAATCTTGAGAATTCCTGAAAATAAATCAGGGTTTGAATTAGAAAATGCGCCTATTAAATGGGCATAAAATTTAATGGGGGGGTCACTGCATGATTGATATAGATATACTAAGGTGACTAGTAAAGTTACATTTCTTGCTTAAGAAGTCAAAAAGGGCTATGCCAGTATTCTGACCATGGAAAGATGGCCCAGTGGCAGCTCAATCAACTAACTTAAAGGAATATTTTTTTTACCAGTGTGTCTTGATGGTCTAGATAAATGAACAGTTTAAATTTTCTTTTAAGACTTTTCCCTTATTATCATTGATGAATGCCACCACACCAACAAAGAAGCAGTCTATAATAACATCATGAGGCGCTATTTGGAACAGAAATTGAAAAATCATAAGCTTGGAAAACCAATGTTTCCCCTGCCTCAGATACTGGGACTAACAGCCTCGCCTGGTGTTGGAGAAGCCAAGAAGCAAGCCAAAGCTGAGGAGCACATTTTAAAAGTAAGTCATTAACTTCATAGACTACAGCAATGACAGAAACCCAAAGCTGAAGTGAATGGTAGTGCTTCTTGGGCTTTCAATATATGTTTAGGTGAACATGTCATGAAGTATTCCACAACCATCAGTAAAATGAAATCTTTTTCCTTTATTTAAAGTAAATATGCTCAATCTTCTACAAAACAGTAACAAGCCTTAGTAAATACATTAATAAATATCTATGATATGGAACAATATCCTCAAAGTAATGCAGTGTCGATATATAATGCAAAATTGTGGCAAATGAAATACCATCTTTTTTTTTAAAAAAAAAAAAAGATTTATTTATTTACGCTTACCGAACTGGGGGACAGGCCACTCACCAGAGACAGAGTGGGGAGCAGAACAGACAGATTGACAAAGTACACTGCTGAGGGTAGCAGCGGGCAGGTCAGAAGAGGTCTGCCACACCATATGGGTCAGCTCCCTGGCGGGGGATGGAACTTGTGCTGCAGTGGCTTCAGAGAGCTTCATAATGTGGTGCTTTAAACCGTTGTGTCACCAGGGAGAGTCTGAAATACCATCTTTTAATATCTACACCTATCATTAAACTCAATGATCTATTTGATATATAAATATGCTTGAAAATTAAGTTCAAACTGCAAATTTTTTGTTGCTCTGCATGATTCTTAGGTTCTAGATACTTCCAATTAAAGTAAATATTGCAGCTATGAGGCTAGTTAAACATATTTTACTTGCTAACTACCTCAAAGTAGCAACATCACATACCACTTTTGATCACAAGTTTTAAATGAATCCACAGTGACCCAAAATGTGTACTGTCCACAAAACAATTTGTCATTTGAGTGCCCTACTTTAAGTGGAATTCAGTGAAAATCATGTAGTGTAAACAGAGGCAAAGTTATTTGTTCAAAAATATAATTTACTGTTACTGAGATGAATTAATTTCAGTATAGCTCTGGGGTCATGGGCTTGAGGTACAGGTCTTCATGTTGCTTTGGCCTACTTAAAGAAGGGGACGGTAAATATGACTCGGGATGTCAAAAGCCCTTTTAAATACCCCATACTATATGATCCTCTCAGAACTATTCTCTGCTGAATTCTGAAAGTTGTTATGTTCTTCTCATGCCCGATTTCCTGTTGGAAAATAGCATTTTTTTTTAAAGATTTATTTATTTGTGCATACAGAACTGGGGTACAGGCCAGAGGCTCAGGGGTGGCGAGAGGCTTCACCAGAGACAGAGTGGGAAGCAGAACAGGCAGATCGATGAAGTACACTGCTGAGGGGAGCAGTGGGCAGGTCAGGAGAGGTCTGCCACGCCATGTGGTCACCTCCAGGGCAGGCGGGAATCGAACTCATGCTGAGCGGCTTTAGATTCTCAGTGCTGTGCTTTAACCCGCTGCGCCACCAGGGAGGGCCCCGGAAAATAGCATTTTAAAACTGAAAATAAATACATTTCTTTTCTAGAACTATCCCACCAACTTAACTGTAAAAATTTTTTTAAACTCAGGACAAATTTATTGGTTATTGGCTTATCAGATCCACAATAAAAATACAGTAAAATGTTACAATTAGCAGGTAATGCTACCTGTGTTGCGTATAAAAAAGAATAATACACTGAACAGTTTAAATGGGAAAATATTATTTGAATCTTGACAAAATGTATCTTTTTCAGATATGTGCCAATCTTGATGCATTTACCATTAAAACTGTGAAGGAAAATATTGTTCAACTCAAAGACCAAATAAAGGAACCATGCAAAAAGCTTGCAATTGCAGATGACCCTAGAGAAGTATGTGCTTAAAATCTTGTATTTATTTGGTGATACCACATTCAGTTGAAAGATATAAAGAATAGTTTATACCTACTACTCTAACAATATTATTTTAAAAGTAAAGCTAAATGTACACATGAAACTCAGAAACGAACTTGTTGCTTTGTCTAGACAAAAATAAATTTAAAAGAATCATTCAAAAAAATTCAGCATCAAGTTTATTTATTCTGTTGAAAATCATTTTAATAGTGCTCTTTCTTGAACAATCAAGACATGTGAGAATAAATGTATATTTCTTTTTAGGATCCATTTAAAGACAAGATTTTAGAAATAATGACAGAAATTCAGACTTTTTGCCAAATGAATCCAATGTCAGATTTTGGAACTCAACATTATGAACAATGGGCCATTCAAATGGAAAAAAAAGGTAACTTGTATTTGACCTAACAGCTTGTCCCACATTTATGCCAAAATTCCACTGACAATGTCACGTAGACCCAAGAAAACAGAAAAATGAAATGTTAAATGGAGTTTCTATGTTCTGAGTAGAATAAGTATAAACAAGTGCTTATTCCTTACCTAGGAAAAGGCACACTATTTCATCTATATTTTTTCCTTTATTTCCAAAATCTTTCACATATTGTACATTTAAAATATGAAGGTAAATATTAACAGTTCTGTCTCCAAATGCAAGCACCTCTATGTTGTTCATGTGGTTCTTCTGAGTCAGCATAGCTCAGCAATGTACTTTGCTGATGCTAATAAAACACTCACTTCCTTTTAGAGCTCATGACACATTTTGAATCTTCCTTTGCCTATTACAAAAAAAGGGGAAAGCCTGTTTTGGAGTCAATATCTGAACATGTAAAAGACCTCAGCACACTTTGAGGGGAGTGTTCTACAGTCATTTCACTATACTTATATTTTTCCACAGCTGCAAAGGAAGAAAATCGCAAAGACCGTGTTTGTGCAGAACATTTGAGGAAGTACAATGAGGCCCTACAGATTAATGACACGATCCGCATGATTGATGCATATAATCACCTTCACACTTTCTATACTGATGAGAAAAAAAAGAAGTTTGCGGTCCTACATGAGTCGGATGAGGACAGTCACAGTGATAACGACGGACTTGATCAAAATATACTTATGAAACTGTATGACACAGATAAATTTCTTTTAAAATTATTTTTTGGTAAGAATCAACATAACATTTATCACATTTTCTCCTATATATATTTTTTCAACCCCAATCCACTTCTATTGAAGCGATTTTCTAAAGTCTCTCTCAAGATATCTTGAAAGAAGAAATCCCACTCACATTGGGGTTATTGTTTTTTAAATTTTTTTTATGCACACTGAACTGGGGTACAGGCCAGAGGGGCAGGGGCAGTGAAAAGATTCACCATAGTCAGAGTGGGAAGCAGATCAGGCAGATCGATAAAATACACTGCTGCAGGGAGCAGCAGGTGAGACAGGAGAGGTCTGCTGTGCCATGTGGGTCACTTCTCGGGCGGAGATTGAATTGACACCCAAGCCAGCCAGCTTTGCAGTGCTGGGCTTTAACCCACTGTGCCACCAGGGAGGGCCTACATTGGGGTTATTTTTAATGTGACCAGTTTAGCCATCAGTTGTATGATCACAATCCTTTGTTATTATTAAATGACTGTAATCTCTTAATTGATTTATCTCTTAATTGAGAGCCTGATGATTAGATATTACACAAGATTAACAGTAGTTCAATTATATCTCATTGCCTTGTTTCATGAAATAGTCCTGTATAATTATTCACATTAGTTGCTAATTTAAGCTAATTATTTCTTAAAGACAACAAAGAGAGTTTGAAAAAGTTGGCTCAAAAACCAGAATATGAAAATGAAAAGCTGATCAAATTAAGAAACACTATAATGGAACAATATACAAGGACTGAAGGATCAGCACGAGGAATAATTTTCACAAAAACCCGACAAAGTGCATTTGCACTTTCCCAGTGGATTTCTGAAAATGAAAAATTTGCTCAAGTAGGAGTCAAAGCCCACCATTTGATTGGAGCTGGACACAGCAGTGAGTTTAAGCCTATGACGCAGGTATATATTTCCTTTTGTATTTATTTTCTTATGTTGTTATTACCCTTCCCAATTTAATTGTATATTTTTTTCATCAATTCTCTTACCATTCACAAATAATTTCACAAAATGAGAGTTATTCTGGAAACAAAATGCATCTAATCTGTGTATTTGGTAGGCTAAAAAATGTCCAAAGAATCCTTTTTTTTTCTATGTACTCAAAGGATCTCTTTAAATTTCATTTCCTTTACAAAAATGATTGACATTTAAATTTAATAACAAAATAGAAAAATGATTACATTTTCAGATTAAATGAAACAGTCAAATTCTAATGAAAATATGTATATTAAAATTTGAACTACATAAAATGTGTTTTTGCATGGGATGAGAACTGTGTAGGAGCTTGAAAAAAATCAGATATTGATAGGTAAGACATTTGGAACTATGAACCATTTTCCTTTCCTTTTTAAATTTTTGTTTTGTTTTGTTTTCATTTCACTGCATTAGTTATTGTGTACACAGTAGAAACATCTGGGGAAAGAAGTGTAGACATTAATGCATGGGTTAAATAAACAATGATGAATTTTTAGAATTATAATGTTCTTCTTTATGTTATATTGACTCTGAGGTTTGTGGTATGAAGAGACATTTCTATACTGTAATTGCCATATCATTCAGAACAATAGAACAAATTAACTCTGCTTTAGTATTTGCTAGGAAAAACTGTTAATTGAATTATCCAATGTAACTCTCAATATTCACACTCTATATATGTACTCATTTTGAAGTTCATGCCTCTAAAATTTATGCCAGAGTTAGTATTGCTTTTCTTATAAACAAAGGATTTGGCCTCCTCCTTGGCATTGAAAGCTTGAGTATGTAATATGTTTCCCTAACAGGAAACTTGCACGCCAAATTAAAGTTCCCCTCTCAAAGCCCCGGTATTGTTTTTGATTTTTAATTTTTTTTCTTTATTGAGGTAAAATTGGTTTATAGCATTATATTGATTTAGGGGAACATATCACAGCTCCATAGATCTATGTTACCTCACCACCCGCAATATCAAAGCACTCATGGTCCTTTATCCCAGACCATTGTTGCCCCCTCCCCACTTTGTTACAACTCCCACCTTCCCTTCCCTTCAAGTAGCCTTTATTCTGCAGTCATATTTTTAGGGTTTGTTTTGGTTTAGTTTTATCATTTCCTTTGCAGCCCCATCCTCTTTATTCTACATATGAGTGAAATCATGCAATATTTGTTTTTGTCTTCTGACAATTTCATTTAGTATATATAATCTCCTCTAGTTCCATTATATTGTCAAAAAATGGGAAAAGTTCTTAATTTTTTTAAAGATTTATTTATTTATGCATATAGAACTGGGGTACAGGCCAGAGGTGCAGGGGCAGCAAGAGGATTCACCAGAGACAGAGTGGGGAGCAGAAGAGGCAGATGGACAAAGTACACTGCTGAGGGAAGCAGCGGGCAGATCAGGAGAGGTCTGCTGCACCATGTGGGTCACCTACAGGGCAGGGATTGAACTCAGCACAAATGGCTTTAGCTTCTTAGTGCTGTGCTTTAACCTGCTGCGCCACCATGGAGGTCTCGAGTTCTTATTTTTTTTTACAGCTCAGTAGTATTCCATTGTGCATATCTGGCACATCTTCTTAATCCACTGGTCTGTTAATGGACATTTAGTTTGTTTCCATAACTTGGTTATCATCAATAGTGCTGCAATGAACATTAAGATTATATGTGTGTATGTGTGTCAAATATATCTACACTCCTTTGAATAAACAATTTTGTATTCTTCAGGTAGAAACATAAAAAATTGTTAGGTCATATAATAGATCTATTTTTAACAGTTTATAGAACCTCCATAATTTTTTTTTCATGGGGGCTGGACCAGCCTATATTCCCTTCTACAGTGTACCAGCCTTACTTTCTTACCTAACACTTGCCAGTGTTTGTTGTTTCTATTATATGGGCTAGTCTCACTGGAATGAGGTAGCAGCTCATTATGCTTTTGAATTGCATTTTCCTGATCATAAATGATGTTAAACCTTTTTTCATGTGCTATTGTACACTTGCATATCTTTTTTGAAGAAGTGCCTACTTAGCTATTCCACCCATTTTTTGATTGGGTTGTTTTTTTTGTTAAAGTGTATGAGTTTTTTTTCTAGATCTTGGATATTAGTTCCTTGTCTGTTGTATAATGTTCAAATATTTCATCTCAGATTCAGTGGAATGTCTTTTTGTTTTAGTGATAGTTTATTTTGCTGTAAACAAGGGTTTAAGCTTGATGTGATTCCATTTATTTATTTTTGCTTTTGTTTTTCTTACTGTTTGATTTGAGTCCCAACTTTAAATCCAAGTCTTTAATCCATTTTGAATTTGTGTGTGTGTGTGTATGTGTGTGTGTGTAGTGGGGGAGGGGGGTTGGGGGGTGTATGGAGTGAGAGAATGCTTCAGTTTCATCTTCTTCATATGACTGTCCAGTTTTACCAGCAACGATTTGTTGAAGAGACTTTACTTTCTCTAATATTGAATATATACTCTTCTTTGTTGTAGATCAACTGTCCATATAAATGTGGGTTTATTTCTGGGCTAGACTGTTTTCCAGTCACTTTATTTGAAACTTTCTTTATCTCTGGTGCTCAGATGGGTCTTCTGGAGACAACAGAGTTGAGTTTTATTTTTAGATCCAACCACCCATTCTGTTCCTTTTGATAGGTGCGTTCAGTCTACTTACACTGAGAGTGATTATTGATACATGGGTCCCTTCTACTACCATTTTGTCTTTAGTTTCTGTCTCTATTTATTCTTATTTAATTTTTATGGATTTTCTTCACTTTGATTTAGAGAGGAGTGCTTCTTTGAGCATTTCATGTAGGGGAAATCTCCTGTTTGCAAACTCCTTCGGGTTTGTTTGTGTGGGAAGACTTTATGTGCTATAATCATCTTTTTTATTTTCTTTCAAGAGTTATTGACTTTATCTCTCCTTCAATCTAGCTATGAGTATGTGGAGGAGGCGAGCCCAAGATTTTCACTCTGCCACCACCTTCGCACAGCTCCTGTGTTAATCCTTACAAGTAATATATCCAAAATCTTTCACTTTTGATCCTGTTTTTAACTTTCTATTATTAACTTGGGTTATATGTGACCACAGCTGTTCTTTAAGGAGGGGTGGAGTACAAATGGAAAGTATATTTTCAGGTTATTTTTTTTTTGTTCCTTATCCATTTAAATCTTGAGGACAGCATACCAAAATATAAAACAGAACCCCTTCCATACTCCTCAAAGCCTCACTTTATAAATTGAGATAACTGACTCAACGGGAGTTAGGCGTCTAGTTGTGATTTCAGGGTTTAGCATTTGTTTGAAATTTTCACTATTCAAATTGTAACGTTGAATCCAGGCATAGACATGTCCAAAGACATGTATGGTTTTTTTTTTTTTTAAGTGGACATAAGAAGGCAAAAATTACAAGAAATGATTAGAAAGGATGAGAGAATTTTTTTTAATTTATTTATTTATTCGTATAGAACTGGGGTACAGGCCAGTTGCAGAGGGTGAGAGGATTCACCAGAGACAGATGGGGTACAGAACAGACAGATTGACGAAGTACACTGCTGAGGGGAGCAGCGGGCGGGTCAGGAGAGGTCAGCCTCGCCATGTGGATCTCCTCCAGGGCAGGCGGGAATCGAATTCATGCGGAAGTGGTTTAAGCTTCTTTGTGCTTTAACCCGCTGCGCCACTAGGGAGGGCCAGGATGAGAGAATTTTGCAGGACTCCTCAGGACAAAGTAAAATATATGGTCTCTGAGAATAAGGGAAAAGGTTAACAAAACAGTCATTGCTGCTTCACGTACAGGGCCAGAAGGTAAAGCCCATTCACCAAAGGCTGACTAGATTGACAGTTTTGATGACCATGATTATGTGCATAAGTCAGTCCTGGCCAGGTTAGTGTGGGATTATGCTCACCTATATCTCCCTTACAGTGGTTATCAGAGTGCATACTTAATTCCTTAAGTTAACTTTCAGAAGTTCAGATATCATTATTTATATAATTAAATAATGTTTTTAAAATTAATTAAATAATATATATTTCGCACCATATTCATTTTTGTACAATGCTTCCTCATCTCAGGTGTAGTCTCCACAGAATTCCCACCCTCAGGTCTCCTGTGTATCATCACTGTAGTCCCTTGTGCTCTTCCCGCCCCTGTTTTGATCCCTCTTCCTTCCCTCCAGAATATCTCTGATTCATAGTTGCTTGCTGTTAAATTTGGGTTTTTATTTACTATTTTTTTTTTCTGATCCCTTACTTGGTTCCGCTATATTCCACTCATAAGTGATACCATCTACTTTGTTCTTTTTCCTTATGGCATATTTCTCTAGCATGAGCCCTTTCAGCCATCCATGTTGCTGCAAATGGCATGAGTTTATCTTTTTTTGAGTGCTGAGTAGCATTCCACTGAAAAATATGGGAAACTTCACAACTTTGCGTGTCAACCTTTGGCTAAGGTCCTGTTAGTCTTCTCTTTGTCATTCCACTTTTAGTATATGTGCTGCCGAAGAGAGCACTAGATTTATGTTTTTAGTAACTTACTCTTTCCTTTTTATTTATGTCATCCTTGGACAGATAACATATTTACCTCAGTCAAAATTGAAAAGCTACAGGGTGTTCCACTGTCCTCCAGACTTCTAGGTCTTCACCCTGGCAGTTGCCAATGTTTTCAACTTCTCACATATCTTTGAGGAATATTCCATACATGTATTGCTTGAATGATTCTTAATGTATCCAAATGCAATATACGGTATATATTTTCTCTGTGACTCAAAACTCAGTCTTTCAAGTGTCACTGCATCTTTTCTCGGAGTTTCTCAAAGACTCTGAAGTTAATGACGTGAAAAGCAAAACCCCTTCTGCTTCTCATTGCCTATCTGCTTCTAACTGAAAATGCCTCTTCCTTTCTTCCTCCCAAGTTGTCCATCAATTCATTTCCTTGGCATAAATGATGGTCTTTCCACCTCCAGACTGGAGGAGGGAAATATTTTTGTTATTGTGTAGTAATCCCAGATTGGAAATCAAATGTTGTCTCACCATCATGTCTTTGTTCAATGCCAAAAACAGATGGCAGTGAATCCATGTATGATCTCATCCTTTGATTTACACTGACCAGTTGTAATTTATTATTTCTTCTAATTAGAAAATTTAATGTGTTTAGCATCACACAATTTAATTTATTAAAATGTTTCTGCAGAATGAACAAAAAGAAGTCATTAGTAAATTTCGCATAGGAAAAATAAATCTGCTTATCGCTACCACAGTAGCAGAAGAAGGTCTGGATATCAAGGAATGTAATATTGTTATCCGGTATGGCCTCGTCACCAACGAAATTGCCATGGTCCAGGTACATTCACATACCTTTGATATATTAGTTCTTGCTTCAGGATTCTTAGAAATTATTCTCTTTTGGTAAAAATGGCATAAAGCTTTTTTTTCAGTTAAAAAATGTTTTCCTGGGCCCTCCCTGGTGGCGCAGCGGGTCAAAGCACTGCACTGAGAATCTAAAGCCACTTCCGCATGAGTTCGATACCCGCCTGCCCCGGAGGTGACCACATGGTGTGGCAGACCTCTCCTGACCCACCCGCTGCTCCCCTCAGCAGTGTACTTCCTCGAGCTGCCTGTTCTGCTCCCCACTCTGTATCTGGTGAAGCCTCTCACCGCCCCTGAGCCTCTGGCCTGTACCCCAGTTCTGTATGCACAAATAAATAAATCTTAAAAAAAAAAAAAAAATGTTTTCCTGTTAAAAGAGCAATATTAAAGAGCTATGTGCCTTTTAGATTGTCGTTTAATTCATATGACAACCAAATTCTTGTTATATTTTTAAACAAGTCCTTTATGGTTATTAATCTTATGTCCTAAGACTTTTCAGGGACATGGTTCTGGCCCCATCTGTCAGAATCAGAAGTGACCTCCAGATTTCTAAGAGTTCTGTGAACCTCCAGATAGGCCAGGAATCTGAACACAGGTCCACAAATGTCTTACAAATTAACAAATTTAACCTTAGGTAGTTCTGCTACTTCCTTATTCCTCCCTTATTCTTTCAGTTTTTCTCTAAGTTTGTGTTTTAATAATAAATATAGGGGGTAGAGAGCAGATTTATAAATACAAAAAGAAAAAAGGAGTGAAATATTCCAATTTTCATTCAATTTCAATTTTTCTCTTACCCATTCTATGTTTGCAGATTGCCTGATGAAGCTACTATTCTTCCTATGAAGTTAACTAAAATCTCTACATATGTGTGTGTGTGTGTGTGTGTGTGTGTGTGTATAATTGTATCCTTGAGTGGAAGTCTTGGAAGACTAAGATAACCAGACAGCCACCAAATTAAGAAGCAACTGTTTTTCAGGAATTGCTTTTTGTCCTGTGGATGTATTTTTCATGAAAATAATACTAAGGGTGATCATTGGGTTTCTGAACTAGGTTACAAAATTTTCTGTTGCTCAAAATGTACCTGAATGTTGCTTTAAAGCAGGGTTTTAGAATGATTTATTAGCATGTCTGCATGTTTTTTTTCTGGAAATTGTGCTCAAAATACAGTGCAGTCTACCAGGACCAGAGCACTCTTCTCCCCAGCTCTGCTATTAAGGTCGGAGGTTTCCATCCTCCCCATTCTCCCCTTTGGTGAGCGGAGCTTCTCTGCGGAGTCACTGATAATGCTTCTCAGAGTTTGAGAGAGGGCCCTGCAGATAAGAAGACTAGGCAGAGTATTTTGTTATGGTATTTTGTGATGGGTCTTTTTATGGTTGATGTGGGGACCTAATCATTATCACTCTAGAACATTGTTGGACATTAAAATACATTTTGAGCACTTAACCAAAAATGGATAGTAACTCACTTGCCAGAAAATAAAGACATCAAAAGCTGGAACACGCAGAACAACAAATACCACTTCAGCTACCAAATGGGAGAGTTCACAGCCAGCGCAGCGCTGCACTCATTTGATTTCTTTGTGTTCTCAGGCCCGTGGTCGAGCCAGAGCCAATGAGAGCACCTATGTCTTGGTTGGCAACAGTGACTCAGGAGTTTTTGAACGTGAAACAGTGAATGATTTCCGAGAAAAAATGATGTACAAAGCTATAGAAAGTGTTCAAAATATGGACCGAGAGGAATATGATCATAAGGTATTGTTTTTGGCCTTCTCTCTGAGTTTACTTTTTCATTTTAAAATGTCTGCATGTGGTTGTCATTGATATCTCTGTGGCTAAGTCTCCAGATGGAAATTGTGCTGAGTTACAAATTTCAGTTTGATGAATTCTGCCTGTTTCAGATTCACATACAGAGGATCAATCCATGGTGAGCCGAAATTGTTAGGGAGCCATTCCAGTGGAATTAACCATGAAGTTTGATAATATAAATTTAAACTACCCATGATCCAGAAATACTAGTGTGGCTCACTCACTCAACCCAACCTAGTAATTTTTATCTTGCTTCTGTCTGTTTGTATAGCACAGTTTTTTCATTTTAGAAACTTTTATGGAGTGGCTGTGTGTCAGGCAATGTTCTGGAAACAATACAGTGACAAATGACCCCTGAGACATGAAGCTTATGTTCTAGCATGTACATGTTGAAATTTGTAAGGGAGAAAGCATAAATAGAAATAAAGCAAGAAATCCATTATATAGAAAAAAATCTTAAAGAATTAGAATAAGATAATGTGAAATAACTCACTAGATGAGTATTTCCAATGGCTTTTTAGGGAGGGAAGGTCTTTTGGAAGGAATGACCTTGAGACTAGATCTGAATGATAGGAAAAGCATAATATGTCTAATTGCATCTCAGTTTACTAACGTAGAGTTGTTTGAGTTGTGAGAGGAATGCAGTGAGGGAAGAATGTATTTCTACAGTATTTCAGGAAATCCCCCATACCACTGAATTAAAGACTGTAACTACTATAATAGCAAACAATCCATTTAGAAGAAAATTCACACCCTTGCATATGGGTGTGAATGTTAGTTTCTTAACATTGGAATTGGCTCTACCCTAAATAGAGTTTCACGAAAGGGATGCTTTCAAATTGGTGTGCATTGCTATAACCAACTCCAAGGTTTCCTGGCCAGGTTTCTACACAAACTTATATTTAAAAAATCCCCCTTAAATATAAGGCAAACTAAACATTGTGCAGTGTCAAATCAAACATTTGTGGCCAAGTAATTCCATGGAAAGTTATTGCCTTATACTTAACATCCTAAGTGAATGAATCAATCGGACATTTTCAAAGATTGGTGTTTTAAGACTATTTGATTTAGGTAAACTCTACACTAGTTTTGAGGTTTATGTACCAAAAAATTTTTTGACATACTCTCTGGAACAAGACAGTCCCTTGCAGGTCCCCAGATTGGACTACCTTTTTAGATCTCTTTTAACCAAAATTCCTCCCCTCTGAAACCTGCCCCAGATAGACAAATTCAGAGCAGGTGGCAATGCTGTGGGGTACTAACACTTTGCTCAGAGCACCCAACATACATTGCTACTGGGTTGCAAATCCCTTTCTTCTAATTTGAGAATCCCTCTCAATGCACTGTTCCAGCACCCACTAGTAAATGGTAGAAGTTGACTGTAATGTGAGTTCCATTCTTTCTGTCACATGTAAAATAAATACAGAACTGAAATTTTCTTCAATCTGAACAGACTTCTGGGATCAAGTTGAAGATCTTAGACACTTACCCTGCTAATTGACCCAATAGCTTTTGCTGAATTACTCTCTTTTCATTGGAATTAGTCTGATTGTAGCTGTGACTCCCATATATTTGTTAAGGTTTCTTTCCTTCTCTAATTATGTCATATTCCTTAATATTTTAGAACTATTCTTTAATTCCTGGTGTTGAGCTTATATATCCATACACTAACCTTGGTTTTATTTTTATTTTTTCTGTTGCACACATGGGTGCTTCTTAATTTCCTGCAGTGATATAATCCTATTCCAAAACATCTGCTATTCATCTCACTGAACAATAAGTATCTTGCACAAAAAAACCTAATTTAATTTTTTAGGGAAGAGTATATGATATTATATTATTATAATTGACCTAAGATATTAATTTTTATCTGATTAAAACTATTGTATAACCCATAAGTTTGCCTGCAAGATTTTGTTTTCTGTTCTGTGCTGAATATGACACTTTGAAGCAAGGCTTGAAACTTTGCAAGAGGAGGACCTAGAAGGAGGGTTTCAAAGAGATGGACTATTCAAATTTGTTCATCAGCACTCAGAGTTTTACTTTTACTGAACTGTTCACTCAGTCTTAAATACAATGACCTCCTCCACAATTTCATATAAATTTGTCATCAATCAGTGGGTCAATCTGAAGGTAGATTATTTAAGAAATATGTTTTACAGCTGCTAAGTTGTATAGATATGAGCACTAAAGTCCCTAGGTCAAGTTTTATATCTCTCATAAACAAGATTCTTTCTGTTATGAGAAAATGTTGTCACTAGTCACCAGCCATTCAGCAGTTCAAGGGCTTGTTCTCTCATTTAAAAAATGGGGCAATCTGAACCTATGTGAAAGCTGGGTGATGGAGCAAAAGAAGTCCAGGCCTCTTCTACCCCTGTCTTTTCTGTCCTTGTGCTATTCAGCCTCCATTCTCAAGATGAAAAATAATTTTTAGAATTTGAAATGCTGCATCTTCTCGCTAGGCAGGAATGGGGAAGTGGTGGAAAAGGTTAAAAAGGAAATGTGTCAGGTATTTGTACTTAAAGGAGACTTTCTGGTAATCCTCTGAACATCATCTAAGTTTTACTGGATACTGACCTGGAATGTAGTCATATAGCTAGCCTGCTTCCACACAGAATAAAATTATAGTTTTGTTTCTAGGAAACATGAATGTTCGGTGGGAAATTAGTTGGTTCTCTGCATGTTGCCCCCTCATTATTTTATCTCCAGACCAAGGGCCAAGTGTATATTTTCATAACTAAGTAAGAGCTCTGAATTCCATGAGATTTATTTCAGTGAAACTATTAAGGAAACTTTTGATATTCTTGTTTCTATGCAGATTTTGGAATTACAGATTCAAAGTATAATGGAGAAGAAGATGAAAGCCAAAAAAGTTATTGCAAAACAACTGAAGAATAACCCATCATTAATAAAATTTCTCTGCAAAAACTGCAGTGTGGTAGCCTGCTCTGGAAACTCGATCCACGTCATTGAGGGGATGCACCATGTCAATATGACACAAGAATTCAAGTATGCCTAGAAAGTCTTAATTTTAAGTTTCTTTATAAAGAGTGAAGCAGATTGTATTGTACACACTTTCCAAAATAGTACAAATGAGGCTGATTTTCCAGAACTTTCTCTCCTTTATTCACCCAATTATATTCCTGTTTCAGATGCCAATTTCTTAAAGTGACTGCACAGGGACAGGGAAAGAAAAGTGTAAAATCCAAAACCATTTTGATCTGAGGGACATCAGTTGTGTAGAGTCGTATTTATTCTTAAATATTCTAACAGCTTAAATAAATATTCTCCTAACTGGTAATTTGGGAGAAGCCACAAAAGGCGACATTCCCTTTGAGAGGTGTGTGTGGACAGGGCATTTCCCTGATGGTGGGGGAAGAGCAGGAACGGGGTGTAGGGTAACATGTGCCATGGAGGAACATCAGGCCCAGCACCTTGTCCTCATAGGCCGCCTATTGGTCTGAATTCTCGAGGATGATTCTTACTCCTTGATGATTTTAGGGAGCTCTACCTTGTGAGAGAAAATAGAGCACTTACCATGACGTTTGCTGACTATCAAATTAATGGCGAGATTATCTGCAAAACCTGTGGCCAAGTGAGTAAATTGTGGTGGGCTTAATTTTACTTTGTATAAAATAATTTATCTAATGTGCATTTAATTCTCTCTTTTGTTTTCCAGGCGTGGGGAACGATGATGGTGCACAGAAGCTTAGACATGCCTTGTCTCAAAATAAAAAATTTTGTAGTGGTTTTCAAAGAAAATCCAAGGGTAAAGAAGCAATACAAAAAGTGGGTCGAACTGCCTATTACATTTCCTCAGCTTGCCTATTCAGAATATTGTCAATTTAGTGATGAGGATTGATATTTGCTTTAAGATTATTTAAAATATTACCAACTTAACATTTGGCATGTTTATGACCGATGACTTCAGTGTATACAGAATAAATGAGAATAAAGTCATTACTCTGCTTTGAACTGTTTATAGGGGAAGACAATCTGTTATTCTCTCAATTATACAGCTTATCAGTTGGCGGGATAAAAACAATCTACCCATCATACTCATTAGTGTGGAGCTTATAATACTGTGAACAGCACACTGGAGTGTATAGGAGAATCCAAGGTGGTGAACTCTGTCCTATCATTTATTTCAGAATCCATCTCAGTAAATCAGTTCATCTCTCTGAATGCACCCTTGTGTGGAGAAAATGGCTATATTACCATCTGCTTTTGTTTTCAATATTTTCAATTTCTGCATAAGAAATTGCCACAAACTTAGTGATTTCCAACAATCCCCTTTTTCTCTGCATGCATGCTATTGACCACAGGTCTGGCAGAAATCAAGGTGTCAGCCAGATAGTGTTCTCATCTGTACACACTTGGGGAAGGATCACTTCCAAGTTCTTTCAAGTTGTTGGCAGAATTCATTTCCTTGCAGCTGTGTGACTGGGATCCCTGTTTTCTTGCTCATGCTTTACTGGGGGCGACTGCAGCTCCTGGGGCTATCCTCACTACACAAGCATCTTGCAGGCCATTTATTGCACAGCTATTTGCTTCTCCAAGGTCAGCCAGATTACCTCCCAAGTCTGTTAACAAGGAATCTTAACTACAGCCAGAGTGATGAGCGCATTGTATCATAGGTCGTGGCTCCGCTGAAGGTGAGACTTCTCAGGACTGATTTTACATAAGGCAGAAATATCAGGGACATAAGAGAATTCTGTTTTCCACATCATTTGCCCAGTTTTATGATCGAATATGTGAATACATATGAAAACACTTGGAAGAAAGATGATGCTCCATAAAAGAACAAGATCAAGATCCAGCAGCAGATAGCTTTAGATTTAACTTTCTCAGCCTTTCTCCAGGAACATAAAATTTTGCTCAAATATTGCCTGACAGCTGAAGTGGGGGCTAAATTCAGACCAGCCTTAATGCTTACAAGTTTTGTTGTGGATAGTCCAGGATTTGCACAGGACTTGGGAACAGATTCGGGATACTATTAGAAAACGAAGAGAAAAATCTCTATTTCTGTCCCTCCCTTAGCCCAGGCCTAACAATAACTGCTCTGTGACTGACCTTTTTTTAAAAAATTATTTATTTATGCATACAGACCTGGTGTACAGGCCAGAGATGTAGGTGTGGTGGAAGGATTCACCAGAGACAGAGTGGGGAGCAGAATAGGCAGATCGATGAAGTACACTGCTGAAGGGAGCAGCAGGTGGGTCAGGAGAGATCTGCTGCGCCATGTGGATCACCTCTGGGGCTGGGAATCGATCGAACTCATGCTCAAGTGGCTTTAGCTTCTTAGTGCTGTGCTTTAAGCCACTGTGCCACTAGGAAAGGTCCGACTGTGATATTTTTTTTTTTTTAAGATTTATTTATTTATTCATACAGAACTGGGGTACAGGCCAGAGATGTGGAGGGTGATAGGATTCACCAGAGACAGAGCGGAGAGCAGAACAGGCAGACTGACGAAGTACACTGCTGAGGGGAGCAGCGGGCGGGTCAGAAGAGATCTGCCTCGCCATGTGGTCACCTCCGGGGCAGGCGGGGATCGAACTCATGCTGAAGTGGCTTTAGCTTCTCAGTGCTGTGCTTTAACCCGCTGCACCACCAGGGAGGGCCAGCCCGACTGTGATATTTTTAATGTTTCTGAATTAAGTATGATAATCTGGAGATGATCAACACTAAGGAACATTGCTCCAGAAGAAAAACAGCCTCTTTGCAAACGGATGAGATGTTTAACTGACAATTGTAGCTCACACGTAGCCAGTCTCCATAGCTGGCCTGCTCCATAGAAACAATTCCCTGCTATGATTAAGGAGAGAAACACAACATTGCAGGGAATGTTTTATGGATTAACTCAATTCAATCTAACAGTAACTTTTAGTCTTTTTTTTGGATAAGATCTAAACAAAGATAAATATGAACCAATCAGAACTTCTGGTAATATAAGACGACAAAAGATTTTTTTTTCCTTAAAAATACTTTTTAGAACTCCAGCTGACACCATTTAAAGTATTGCTGTCTTCTAGAACACTTTGGAAACTATGCAAGAAACCAAATGTATGAAATGACTAAATGTACTACTGCGACATATGTAGACTGTTTTTGACGTGTCAACAAATATCAGGTTTTTTAAATCTATGTTTTCCAGGTTTTTTTTTTTCCAATAAAGGAGTTTTATTTCTACTTCAAAGTTTTAAAATACATGTTGCAAATTTAATATGTGGTGGTGCCTAAAAAGTATGGTACAAATATTTCATTCCCCCAAAATTGTAATAGTTGAAGCAACTCAATTGATTGTTACCAAACACCTTAATATTCATGATATTTTAAAGGCCATGAACAACCCCTGCACATGTCAATTCTTGTCTTGGAATTAGAATCCCTGACCTTCAGTGCCCATAAAAGTTTCCATTAGGTGGATGGCTGAGCAACCTTGTCTCTCCTGTTTCTTCCTGGGCAAGGCATGATAGCTTTTAATGATATCAAAATGATCTCACAACTCTCACAGTCTCAGAGTCCATCCTCCTGGCTCCCTGGCTGCTTTCTTTTAAAATCTTAGTGACTTGTATTAATATCAGCTGTAGGCTAAATATATTCTAAATACATTGAGCATTTGAAGGTAGCTCAACATCTTATATCATGCAAAGGGCATTACAGAGGTCTCACAGAACAGAACAGACACACCACCTAGAGCATGTATCTAGGCAGGTTACAGCCTGAAGTGTTAGGGAATTAAACAAGCATTTCCAAATCACAAACCACTGGCTAACCTGTAAGACAAAAAATAAAAGAAGAAAAGAAATGAAGCAAACAAACAAAAATTGATATAATGTCAGAGTATATGAAATTAAAATACAGTAATATACAAGCATATTGAATATAAGGCATTGAGGCAAATGTCTTCACTCAAAAATGCCTCTACTCAAATGCTTCACTCAAAAATGAAGAAGAAATGGTAAGTGCAGATCACAATTTTTGAAAGTGAAAAATTCTATAAGAGAGGTGAATATTTCCCTCTTCATTTTATAGTTCTGATATTAGAGTGCCTTTGAGTATTCTGATGTTTTCAATTCCGTCGGATACTAGATGAAAGAGGATTTAGATTTTCTTGTAGTCTGTAAAATGTCAAAGACCCAAACACATGAATGTGCTATGGAAAAGAACAATAAAGAGTGAGAAAATACTAGCAATGTCCAACCCAAAATTGCTTATTAAAAGTTTTGATATTTTCTGCCAAACCATCTTATCATAGGCTTTTCTCATCACCCCGCTTCTTTTCCTATTACATAAACTTGCACATGTTTAGAAGCTCTTTCTCACTACCTCCTCAACTGACATCCCTATGTTCTTCAAAGACAAAACCCAAACATCACTTCCCAGCATCTAGCAGAGTATAGTTTTCAGAACTAGAATGGAAAAAGAATAAGGAAATAACATTTACTCATGCTGAACATAATAAAGTGCTCATTTCCAAAATCTGGTAAACAATTACTTGAGTCATAGCAATAAAAAAATGACTATTTCCTTATACAAGTTATGAAGTTAATTTGAAATAACTGTTAGCTTCTTCTGTCTTCTTCAGTTATTGCATTTCTTCTTAACTACAATTGAAGTAGATAGTGATTCATATCTTTGTTTATAGGGGAGAGCTTGGAATGGAACAGACTGAGTTTGGCTCCTCACTGCTTTGTCACTCTGGGAAGTCCATCTCTCTGAGCCAATGGGGAGAGATGAATAAATGAACAGACCCAGAAGAATCATAATCTGACCCTGAGGGTCATTACTTAAAAGCAGTCTGAGTGACAGAGAGTTCAGATAACCAGCTTGACCTGGTCAGGATGGCAGGAGGAGGGGTGGTAACTGGGCGCTGTGTACATCTTTATGAATAACACCCAATAGTTAAAATACAGAAACAATTTCATAAGATATGCCTTGTTTGATTAAACTATGTGACTGTACTAAGGAAAACTGAATTGTATCAAGGTACCCGATAGATATTCTGTCTATCTGAGTGAATTGGGAGGTTAGGAAATGGATGTGATAAGTATAGATGATCTTTAAATGGCATTGTAAAAAACAGATGGGGATAAAATCTCAAAAGAGGATTGATCCAAAGTTTCAAGCCTGTTGACAGACTGCGAGTGAAAGTCTGGAAATAAGGAGAGATGCAAGAATCAAGAAAGAGGAGATGAAGCAAAATGCATGGGTAAGGGGAGGATAAAACCAGGGGCACAAGAAATTATTAAGGATGGAGAGAGAGAGTTGCTGCCCTTTCTACATGAAGATAAAAGTGAAAATGCACGAGAAGGCACAGCTTAATGTAAAGGTACCAACATAGGAGGCAGACAGAATTTATTTCTCTGGTGTCAACCACTAAGCTATTACTGAGTTGGGCTTTGGATGTCAGAATGGACATTGGAAATGTAGTGAAGATTTGTAAACATACTTTGGTAAATGAAAAATGACAAATTGGAAAACTGGTAATATTACGTTAGTAGAACCAGTTGAACTGGAAAAAATAAACCTAGACCCAATGATTTAAAGGTTTTATATGAGTAGAATACTAGACTAAATTATGTTATATTTATTCTTTGGTGAGTAAAAGAAAAAAAATCTGAGTGCTTAAAAATTTGATGGAATCTAAAACTTTACAATGTTCTTGTCATAACTCCAGTGAATCTACATGGAGTTTCAGATAGTTCTCTCCACTTTGGTTGCATTTAGAAAAAACCCATTACCAGCATTCAAATTAATTAAAAAGTAATTAATTTAAATATTTATTTCTGGCCTGCACAAAAATTAAAAGGAAATTGCATCCTATACAAGTATTTTCAAATCTTTTTTTTTATTAAAAAGTTTATTTTTACATCATTTTTCACATTTTTTTTTTCATCTCAATTGTAATCCCCACGGGTTTCCCATCACCAAATCACCCCTGTGCCACCAC